AATATATTCTTGATAGGAAAACAAAGCCAGTCGATACAGGCATTTCTATGTGTCTGTCTCAAGAAGTAGAAGAGGTATGTAGAATAACCAACAACCAGAGTCGAGCGGGCCCAGCTCTTAGTAAAAATATGTTTTTATTATTATTATTATACATTTTTAAGCAATTGTCTCGATTTGAAAATCATTTATTATATAGTAAATCTATCTTCCATGCATACTTATTTATCTAACGAATTTGTAAGTGAATTCATATGATCTCTTGCTTTTACCGATTGATCTAACTGAGCTCTACGACAAGCTGGGGCGTTCGACCAATTCTAACTTCTTGGTATATCTTCTTACCACTGAATCCGAACACAAGTGTAGGCAAGTTAGCAAACTGTTAAACAAAACATACGGCAAGTTCTGTAAATTGATTCTTCTTCTTTCTTATTTTGTGTCTCTGTTATGTTATGGGGCGATGTTGCAAAAAGAGAAAGAATGCTTTAACATACGGACTAATACATATGCATACATACGTGAAATGTTAAATGTTATTGTGCTTACACAACATATGCATGTACTTAGTATGTTAGGAGGCAGTGAATTAGAAATTCGAATTCTAAACTTGTAATCACTTGAATACTTAAATCACAATTATTACCACTTAGAAAACAAAACAAAAATTGAGGAACGGCGCAATTTATTTTAAATCACGAACACATACAAAAATATGTAGACAGCACATAATTCGCGCGGAATTTTCGCATTAATAAACAAATATGCACATTTCACACATGACTTAATATGTACATGCATACATATGTTGTCACACAAACTTACTAATATTTAAACTATTAACTAAACGTTTCCTGAGAGTTTGCGTCAACTCCAATAATCCAATACATGTGTGACGTAGCACGGATGACAGCAATGGGGATTGCATTTTATTACATACTATACACACATATCCGTACCAGCGAGTATACATATACGTACTCTCAAGTAAATCAACATTTGACCATTTGTCCATGCCCATGCATGCGTGCTGTTCAGAATTGAGCAACAACAACAACAAATACTATTATACTAAGGTTTTTAAGCAACACAAGAAAGGGCTTCTCAACCGATGCACAGTTATCAGAGACTCTCCCGGAAAGGTTGTCGTACAAATATTTTGTACACTACGTTTTATTATCAATGATGAATGTTTAAATATCCTATTTTTAAACTGGCTAGTTTTAGTTCGATATTCCACTTTATACGCGTACTCGTATTGCTGTCGAGCGGGCAACTCAAGAGCCTTTTTGCCGTCCTTGAAAAATGCACTCCATTTGGCCTGCTAACCAAATTACCAAAAAGTTGGCGCCACTGCTGAGAGTCTTTGAAGATGCGTGCAACACAAATCAGGCGACAGTCGAAGTGAGGACTCGCACACATGCACGCACAAGCACATGTGCGTGTGAAGGATGTGGAGAAGAGTGAAATGCTTAAGTGGAGCATGCAAAACGCAAGTGACTTGACCTTCTCAGCAGCTGCATGCCAGAGGGGCAGAGAGAAGGAGAATGACTTTCACTTGCTATATGCCACTACTGCCCCTGCCACTACTGCCACTGGTGCCACCGCTGCTGCTGCTGCTGCCACTGCTGACGTCTTGCCAAGGATCCGTCTTTCGCATCTAGCAGAGTCTACGGTCGCCTGTGGAGTGCGCGAAGGTTTTTGCTTTTCCATTGCACGAAGCCATTGCCATTATTGCAATCATTGTAGAATATTGATGTTGTTTTTGCTGCTGCTGCTGCTTGTTCTTATTTTCCGCTGTTGTTGTTGTTTCAGCATCTATCTCTTGTTCTTTGTGCTGTTACCAATGGCGTGATATTTCTATTGGAAGCTGGCGCTTGCCATTTGCCGGTCCATTTCGCCTTCACTCGCACACTTTTATTATTCCATTGACACGCCCTTGCCAGCTCCATGTTTTAGCTTTGAAAAACAATCTCGATGACGATGGTTTTGTCTCGAATTAATTTGTATAATTGCAATGGAAAGTACAACATCAACAGCAACAGCAGCAGCACCCATAATGACTGAAAAACAACGACTGCAATGGAGCAAATACTTGACAGCAAATTAAAAAAAAACAGTGGTTCAAACCATAAATAATATGCTTAATATTCAATTTCTGCCATATAGAAATTAGCTTTACATCAATCTTTCACTCAGACCAATCTATTATTTTCGACATTGAAATGCAATGATTTTAGCGGATTTTAAAACAAGCATTTACAAATTACATATTTACAAATATCGAAAAAAAAAGTCAATGTCTTAAAAAACTTGTTGTGACCGGAATTTTCGTCCTGAATTTTCAATTCTAAAATATTTAAGCCAATTTTGATTAAAGAACGATTTTAATTATTCTTTTTTCTTACAAAGCTTTTCATTACTTTTTAGCATTTTCATGAGGTTGTTTATTAAAAATAACAAATCTGCATTGAAAAATGTTATAAATAAAAAAATATTATCAATATTTCATTTGATAAAATATGCAAAAATTTGTTTTGCAAATTTAAAGATCACTGTAATTAGCTTAATTATTTCTAAATTTATTTAATTAGCTTAGGAATTAATTTTTATTTATTGAACATTATTTGATAATCGCCACTTTTTTAAATGGCACACTGTAGAAGGCTTGTCTGCCCTTCCACCCTTTGTCCGCCTGTTCGCTCAACCGCAAAATTTCGCCCCTCCCCCATGCTATGTAGGTCAAAAAGCTTATAGAAAAAGGACAATGCCTCGCACTGACCGCTTACCCATTTGTCTGGCAGGCTGTGCCAGCCTAACTGCTTGACTGGTCCGACTATCTATTTCATTCACCATTGGACCAAAACGTTAGCAGCACTTTAGTTCAATTTATCAGTGGCTGTGGCATGTGCGGGACGGCGGGGGTGTCGAAGCGACAACAACAACAACAACTCGGCTGAACAGAATGTGTGACAACACTTGTTTCAATTGCGCCTATTGATGTCATTGTTGTCGTTGTCGTTGTCGCTGATGTTCCTGTTGCTGCCATTGTTGTGGTGCCGCTGTCATTGACATTGTTGAGGCTACAATCGCCTAAATACGCATACCATTGCCCAACACAAACAACAACTTTTTGTTTTATTTGCTAATGCTTCGAATTTCCCCCATTCGAGATTAATGAGCGCCCAGTTGGATGCTGTTTTTCTCTCTCCTGCCAATGACCACCACATTGCATTCAAACACGCATAAGCATGCAGCGGGGAGAGAAGGGCACCCATTTTCCAATTGTACTTTGGATGTCATTCCATTTGCATGTTGCTCATTAGGCTCATTTTTTCAGCTCTAGAAATTTCTCTGGCAACATTGATAAAGACCTGCCAATGCATAGTATATATTTTCGACGATATTAGCGAGGTGTTACCTCAATTAACTAAAATATTACATGATTTAACGTTTAAGGGGGGTCCCCTTAAATAAGTCACTTTCTCTTTCCCTGACACTAGTAGTTTTGACGCGCTGTTAACTACAGCTGTTAGCAACCGCTGTTAGCTAACAGAGCGCTGCCTGCGTTGGTAGCCTCTCTCTCTATGTTAGCTAGTTTTAAGCTAAGTATTATACATTGAAATGTACATTTGGTCTTAGCAGGAAAGTGAACATTTTAATTTGAAAAGAAAAGTTTAAAAACCTTAATTTTTGTGCCATTTAATCCTTCGTTCTATTGGTCCTTTTTCCATCACCCGGCGGTGCTAACAAAATTAACTAACTTCTAAATCTCCAGTTTTATATGTCTGTTGGTTCAGTTACGAGTAGGAAGGGTTTCCCCAGTAAAAAAGACTTTTAAGGTACCCGATATACCTCAGTTAAATGAATATACCAGGGACTGTAATCATTATGTGTTTTAAAAAAATAATAATAATGATTATTTTACAGGTTCAGTTTTATTTATGATCAAAAAAATAAAACTCAAAGCATCATTATTTTCTAAGCTTTATTTTTTGCTCAAAAATATTAATTAGTGGTTAATTTTTAAAGAAACACTCAAAAATAATTATTAAATTTTTAGTGAATGAAAAAAATTAAAAAATATAAATCATGGTGAAAATGGATAGATAATCTTTGAAAAAGGATATCTGTAAAGGCCCCGCTTTCTCAAAGTTACTATCAGTGAATGATTTTTTCGTTTACAAATAACAAAATAATCATTATTTGCAGTCCCTGGAATATACATACATACATATGTATGTGCAATTTGTTTCTTTTTTTTAAGTTTCTTAAAGTCTCTTGCATGTTCGATAATTATAATATTTATTGATTAATAATTATAACGGCTCCTCTCACCAATCTAAAAAGGATTAACTCAAATTTAATCACACCAATACAACCATTGAGTTTCGCTTCCATCGCATGTCACACAGACACACACTATTTTAATTCCCCTCTCCCACCACGCCACAAAATTTCGGTACTACTGTCCACTTTATAAAAGCTTCATAAGTCCAACCAATCCACACGTAATAATATACTTCTCTCTACCGATGTTTTGAATAAATAAATAACTTTCCTTCGAATTAATTGAATTAGATGAAATTGATAGATGAAAATAAAGATAGAGAACTATATGTAATAATTATGTAGCTTTGGAGTTTTCCACAGTACAGTACAGAACAGGGATATAAAAAATACACTTACAATTGGACTTTTTCATAGATGTTACATACATATGCCGAATTTTAGAGCGATAGTTGTAATAATAATAAGGTGTTTTATGATGTGATATCAAATATAAATGAAAGGCACAATTGATTTCTTAGATAACCGTTGCTTAAAAGTGTTGCTAAGTTTGCAGTTTCGAGCTCATTCTGACTGTTTCCGAATTCATATCACGAATCATGTTGTGTCATTATCATTTTATTTCTTTGATTGCCTGTGTGACAATTTCAAAATACATCGAATAAGTGTGCCAGTTAATTTGAGTTCAATGCCAGATTCTCCAGATCCTCGCATTACTCGTCCTCAGTGGAGCTACTATCGGAGTCGTCTGAGTCCTCCTCATCGTCCGATTCACTATCGCTGTCGTCTGACTCATCATCGCTGTCGTCCGACTCATCATCACTATCACTATCGTCCGACTCGTCATCGCTATCGTCTGACCCTTCATCGGGGTCTTCGTCATCCTTGTTCACCCCAAGTTCGTGCTGTTTCCCTTTTCGGCCAACGTCTCTGTTGTTTGGCTTCCTGTCGTACCAGTTCAACTCGGACTCAATATCGGAATAGTCGGAGTCGGCGTTCTTTTTTGGCACTGGCTCGTACTCCTCCGGTGGACCGTTCTGATGAGGATTTCGTCTATCCTCCCCCTCTTCCTCCTCCTGGTCCCCCTCCTCTTCCTCGTCGCTGCCACGCAATCGCTTCCGTAACATTTGCGAAAAATAATAGCTATCAGTATCGTGGCCGCCCCTCTTGCGCCGTGCAAATATCTCCTCAACCTCCTCCGCAGAGAGCGTCTTGTGGGTTGGAATGCGTTGAAAGTTGTACCAGTCCTTAATCGGATAGGCGTCGATCCATCCATCCTTGGCCTGCAAGAAGAGGAACAAGTTTCCACGCTCTTCTTCGCGATTGCCTTTGTACTGCCTGCCCTGCTTGCCGCCCACAGTCAGTATCCATGGCTGATCCTTGGCTCGATATTTTTTCGGGGGACTGGTTTTGCGGAACCTCTTGCGTCCCCCGTTGTAAGCCGTGCCTGGGCCGTACCTGGGCTGCTCCTCCTCCTTGGGACGCGATTGCTCCCAATTATTCTCCCTCTGAATAGTGACCTCATCCCATTTGTCGAAGTTCACATTAAGGTTGGCGTTGAAACCCATGCCATGATGGACTATCCCAGTCTTTGCTAAGCGCACATTGTATTCCTTCACACTGCCAATACCAGATTTCGGTTTGGATGGTGGCTTAGACATGTTGGCAGTAGATTTTTTTTCAGGAACTGACATCGCAAAGTCTGGACGTTCAAAGAATATGCTTTCTGTTCAATGACGAAGCAACTATGCCTACTTTATGAATTTTTTATAGCTGCGTAGAAGAATATTAGGGTAGAAATTTCGATAAGTCTAGGAAATCGATTGATTAGATGATGGAACATTTTTGTTGGGTTTTATTGTACATTTAAATCAAATCAAAGATTCGTAAAATCTTCTACTTGTCTGTGACTCAACACATTTTGATGTTTTAATATTTCTTTATTTCGATTTCTATCACAAATGTTGATCGGATTTGTCTTAAAGATATAAATAAATCTGAGCTTGCAAATAACTGTTAACAGTTTCTCTATCACAAAATAACTGTTACCTACGGACGATTTTGGGAAATAGTCACAGGTGAACGGTTCACTTCGTTCGTTGAATATATCGTTCTCAGTTCATCCAAGAACCAGTTTTTATACTCAGTACATGAAATGTACAAGAGTATATTAGGTTTGCGGGAGCTGAAAAATGTAACAGACAGAAGGAGGCGTGGCAGACCCCACAAAGTATATACATATATCTGTCTGTCTGTCCGTCTGTCGGTCTGCCCGTATGAACACCTGAATCTCAGAGAATATAAGAGCTAGAGACACCAAATTTTGCAAAAAGATGATTTTTGTGTGTACGCTATACGAGTTTGTTTTATTTTTTTGATTTTCCCTCCACTTCCCCTATGGGGGTTTTCCCGATTTTCCATTCCTATAATCGCCTATATCTTAGACACTTTAGGAGCTAGGGAAACCAAATTTTAGTCCCAGGTGCCTTATGTAAGTAAGCATAAAATGTGTTGGAATGTGTTTGGAATTTCCCTCCCTCCGCCCTCTCCACCGCAAATCGCGACTCTCTCTAACTCCCGTAATTCTTGGATTTCCGAGCTCAAATTTTGCCAGTACCCCCAGTAAGTGATTATACATATGTCCGTATGCCATTATGCCAGTTTCATTATGAAAGTTCGATTTGACTGGAAGTTATAGCCATAAATATAATTACTGCACAAGTGCTGCCCGCAGCTGTTATTGCTGTTGCTGTTTGGTTGACTGCAAACATGTTCACACAGACACGAATAGACACGCATAGACATGCATACACTCACATAGACGCATTTGCTTTGTAAATGTGCAATTATTCATCCTTTAAAATCGACCAAATTTTTTTTTTCAATTCTTTTAATTTTTTTAGTTTCTATAATTATTCTAAGCATATGAACAGAGTATTTCAAAGTCGAGACACCCGACTTTAGCTGCCTCACTTATTATTATTTAGATTTTGTAATGGCCTGCCTAAAATATTTTATAGAGTGAAATTTTTTTCACACCTAAAAAGTTTACGTGTTAGAATGCTCAAAGGTCCTTGATTTGATTTAAATTCGAACTTACAAGTATTGTAGGTCGATATATTAAGGATATAAAGAACGTCATGCTATACCCAGCAACGTGGAAGTATATGGAACAACATATTTTCAAGTTTTAAACAAGTATATTTTTTTATACCCAAAGTAAATGTTTCCTTTAGTAGCTAATTAAATTATAATAAGAATTTAGTATCACAAACTCGAAACAACAAACCTAATAATTACTTTAAAAAAAATGCACTCAAACGAATTAAGTAAATAGGTTGGTAGCATAAATTATGTGTTCATTCAATGGAAAAGTTTAAACTATCCAAGCTGTTGAGCCTTCTTTTTGTATTAACAGATCGGAACTTTTAATTATGGTTTTCGGGATCTATCAAAAATGTATATGTTGTGCATTTATTCTGCAAAGACTCTCTGTATTTGTCTACATATTTTTGTTAATATTTGATATTAGGGACGGAAAAACATTTAATAGGAATAAAAATGCACTTCCCATTTTAGATTTTATTAAATTCAGTTGAAAAAATTACAATAGCACGTCCTACTTACTCATTTCGTGTACACTGCATTTTGTACACATATAGAGTTATAACAGGATAACCAAATGGCCTTGCATATTGGTAGAGAATAGAAAGAATAGTAATAAGACTTGAAAATTAAATGCATTTTGTGGGTAACACAGCAAGAAAGCGGTAGTCCCATTTATTTTTTACGCTTTCCTCCTTTTTCTTATCTTTGCCACAGAAATTTGTGTATTTAGTTTCTAATAAGTATCTAGAAGGAATATCATATACATATATGTAAGTAATCTTATTAAGCACATGGATACTTTGCAAAACAAAAACAAAACAAAAACTCTGAATAAATAATTAATGTGTAGAAGCCTGTAAACAAAATTTTTTTAGTCTACAGAAAAATTTGTTGGCTTTATTTGTTGCTGCAGGGAATCGTTTTATTCACAGGATCGCATAAGCATTATTCATTTAATTCAGAATTCCTTAATAATATTCGGTTCAAATACAATGCTCGCTAATGTGATGCTTTGATGCTGAATGTATTTGCGGGTATGTGTGTATTTCTTCGAATAACTGCATACTTTGTTTAAGGCATTTATTGTGCTTTTATGCCGTTATGCGGAATAAACAACACGTAGACCAAGCTCATTAGCGCGAAGGGAGGGGGGGTTCCGAAAAGCAAGTAGCATGCAAATTTGTTGTCTGCAACGATGCACGGATCCCAAATTTGTGGCAATGAGGGGCGAAACGCGCTATTAGTTCGCACACACAAATGCGGGCGAAGCACTTTAATATTGAACCTTCAATTGCAAAATCAATAAGCAAGCAAACGCTGCCACGCCCACCCACATCTACACCTACACTAACACTAACAACAATAACAGCAGACAAAATATCTGGAAAAAAAAAAGACAACGCTACGATTTTTGGGGCAGATTATTCGATTTGTCTTGATTGCGTTTTTGCTTTTTTATTTGGGGCTTTTTCTATTTCTACTCATGTCGATGGCACTGCACAGATAAAAACTTTAAGCGTTTTAACTGCTGCCACGCCTACGCCCGGGACCACGCCCACTCCCCGTCATCGTCATCGCCATCGCCATCGCCCTGAATCCAACTCATGGGTGGAGGAATGTTGCTGCCCGCCTACATGTTGTGTTAATTTGTTGTGAAATCTGTGCATTTATTATTATTGCATTATTATCATTATAATAATAATTATTATTATTTTCTTAGCAACATTTTGCTTTTGCGTTTTCGCTTCTCTTCACATCTTTATTTATTCATTTTTTCTTTTGCCGCTTGACAGCGCAGACAAAAGCTTGCCAGATAACAAGATTAGTTGCACACTACACTGTGTGGGGCTATTGGGACACATTCTGACATCTTGTGGCAGAGTGTGGCAGTGAGATGTGGTGCTAAGGGGGACAGGTTTAACGAGCTAGAAAATCGTCGAATACCCTACAATGTGCACAATTCACATCCGATAAGCTAAGCGCCAAAGTTTCTCTGTCTCGGAGAATCCGTTTTTGGTAGCAGAGCTCTAAATAAATGTAAGATAGAAGTCAAAAGATTGGTTTCAATGAACTTGGACGTGTCGATTGCATTTTTATCGATGCTAAGTGCACTTGAGATTATTTTTAAGCAAATGTCGAATGAAGTGCGTGTAAAAGTAATGGCATACGACGAACTTGGAAGGTCACTTATTATTATTAGTGGGGCGGCTACATACATCCAACAACAACAAATATTATTAAATAAAATTAATAATATAAAAAAAGAAAAAAAAAGAAAATTATAAAAATGACAAACAAAAAATTAATAATCAAATAAAACTAAATTAAATTTTTAATGAAAATAAATTAAATTGCATGAAATTAATTATTTATTATAAGAAATTAAATTAATTAGAAATAAATATGTAATGACTAAATATGTTCTTATTTCGAAAGCGTTTGTTAAAGCCCAATACAGTGAAGACTCCCTTAATGGAGAGCTCTTTTATCCGGGCACTCTCTTCGGCGGACACTTTTCCTAAAACATTGGATCGTTGTATAAAGAATTTAAGTATCCTCTTAAGTGAACACTCCCCTTGAACGGACAAAAATTGGCCGAGCGTGAGTGTCCGGTCAAGAGAGTTTTCACTGTAATTAGAATGTTTTAAGGCCAATTGGCAGAAAACTTGCCTTATCTGCTCGAGAGCAGCGAATTCTTCTCAGAAAAAGCTGCACATAATTTAATGATGGAGGGTGCTTTTATAGCGAAAGATTCCCTTGAATTGCAGTTCTTTTCAGCTCGAATGAAAATCAAGGAATACATTGTTGTATTCGAAATATATAGTCTTCTTCGCATCTCATTTCCGGAGAATGTGTGGGGGCGTATTAACGAGACGGGGCTATGCAAAAGATCGCCAGTACAGGAAAACTGTAGATTGCACCTATTGCGTAATGGGCCGAGTTGGATGCCAGTCGTTTGATGAAATTAGAATGATGAATTATCAGAATCAATTCTTCTTCTTATTATTGAAATGTATTATGTTTAATATCTGCAAAAAAAAACTCAATTGAGATAATGCATAATTAATAAGATGACAATAATAATATTATCATTATAGATAGTTTTAAATATATTCATTTTTCAACTAACGTTAATCTACTCAAATCAGATTATATGATAATTATATTTGTGTGTGCACTTTATATACTACATATGTATATATTATTCAATATCTTCCTTCAGCTATATTGCTCACAATGTTGTTGACGATAAGAAAAACAAAAAACTGAATTTACCAACACTCTATGGTTCTTTGGCTCAACTTGAAATTTTTTCCAGCTCTTTAATTTAATTGCAACTTTTTTAATTAATTAATGTTTTTAGATATTTTTTTTATGCCGTCCGTCTTTAGCAACAGCTTTTACAATACTCAATTATTACCAAGCAATTAATCAGCCCTCAATTCTCTATGCAATAGAATTATCATTCATTACTTAAAAAAAAAAACAAACTGCGAAAACTTCGATTTATTTAAAGCATATAGTATGTACCTTTGATTTCTTGCATACTTTC